TGTTTCAATAGCACATGCTACTCTGCTTGCATAAATACAATAACAGAAACACGTGGTTGTGTTATACATCTAAACAGAGATGATGAAATCTAAACACTATTGAATAAATACTGATGCACATTGTATATTTTTATTTCCTTTCTGGTCTGGTAAACAGCTGAAATAACCTTACACACTTATATAATGTTGCTATTTGAATCTTTACCACACAAGTATATATATTGGACAAATAGTTATCTTACAGACAGTTACAATGCTGCTGTGAATGCGACTTATGTATCAAGGTGTATACTTGAATATTATTCCATCAAACATAAATCAAAAGCTGTCTCCCCATCCCCTTTTTCGCTTCTTACTATGTGAATACACACACACACACACACACACACACACACACTGTGGTAAAAGATCACTTTGAAAAGGCAGCTGTGCTTGATGAAGGTTCTAGTCTTGGTATTCAAGAGAGGAATGTCCACAGTTCCCAGCTCTTGAAGTAAGCAAGCATGGGACAAAACCCTTGTCATTTTTGGTGGCCTAGATATTGTGCTCAGTACAAAGGAATCCAGCTTTTTTTGGAGCAGAGGAGGGAGGGCGGGGCAACCTTTCCTGTTTTTCTGCCAGTTGTCAAACCACCACCACCACCAAGCAAGGCCACTGTCTTCCCAACTGGTAGACAGCCTTATGAATGTCTGTATTTATGCTATCTACATATTCATTCCAAATAAAGCCCTTTACAGATGTTCTTACCAGGCAGCATGCATTCAGTGGCACTCTTGTGGGAGGCTCTGTGCCTGATCTACACACATTCATCTGAACATCAGAAGAGAGTGTATGTGTGGGTTGGCCATCTTCAGACATTCAAACAGATGTGTGCAGGTTGAGAAAGATCCTGATGCTACAATGTCATTCCACAACAGGCCTGCTTATACTGGGATGGCAACATATCCTACACTAGAGGAAAGTCCTCTGTTTTGAATGTCCAGTCCAAAGTCTGCTTTAAAGACAGCGGACCATAAAAAGGGAGAGCAGGGTCCTTGAAATTGTCTATCAACGGTTAGCAGCACCTAGTCAGCAGAGTCAACAGTCACACAAGTTTTCCCCAGTATGGTGAAGTGTATGTATCACCTAATCAAATTATATTGTTTCTAAATTTGTGACTGTTCGTATAATTTATCATATGTAATTTTTATGCAAATTGTTGTCCTCTTTTTTGGATGGTGCACGTCCTCTGTTTTGGCAAAGCATAAGTGAGCAACCCTGGTTTATACTACACAGGGATACTGCTAGCATCAAAACTTGGTTCTCAGAGTTTTGCAGCAAGATAATTGTTACAGTATTATTTTAAAATGTTATAAAAATATTGCACAAAGGGCTTTTCAATTTCTCCCTACATTTCCATTTATCCCCTGACATTTTTCATTTTTCTTCTTTTACCACTGGGATTCTGCTCTGGTATGAGATTTCCTCCACCCGCAAGAGTTGGTTACCATATGACATCACTAGGCTGGGCATTGTGACATCACCAGGCCTTGGAATGCTGCTGGCTCAGCAGCCATCCTTAGAAATGGCAAATCCGTTGGAGGCCTGTTGTCCTGATAGATTCGGCTCAATCGGATAAAGATGAAAGGAAGGAATTTCTGAACCACAGAAGACATCTACAGTTATGAGACAGCTGCTGCTAAGATTGCAGAAGCACTTGCAGACATTGTCAGGAGAAACATAGAAACTGGGGCACTTAAAAAACAACAAAAAACACCCCACCAGGCTGACCTGTCAGCAATTTGAAGTGCAAATCATTAACAAGAAGGCTTTTTAAGCCTGAGCATTTGTTCTGTTAAGGCAATTGCACAGGAAACATCCAAGGCAGCATAGTTTACTTCTGAATATATACCTGTAAGCAAAGTCCTGATTTTGTAAAAAAATGAGCAGCACACCTGTGAACATTTAAAATAGCTGTCCAAAAATGAGCTCTAGTTCAAAATTTCTGGGAACAAAGACATTATAGGGAATATAACTAAGGAAAGCCTTCTCACTCAGAAGGTATGATTCACCATTTTTCTGTTCTAGAATATTTCAAACAAGTCAAAAAAGTTTTTATATTGAAAATACATAGTCATAAACAATCTAATATTTCAATCTGAAGGTTAATATAAGCCCACCAGTCAGCCTGCAAAGAAAGATCAGCTGTGGTTTCTGTAAGAAAGCCCCTATTAATTGCTCCCTTTCTAGCTTATTGATGAGCTAGATAGCAAACACCACTACCATCAGCATTTTTTTTTTACTGAATTACTTAAAACACACACACACAAGACAAATGGTTTGCTAATGTATTTATAACATACATTATTTCAATACAGTGAGTTCAAAACTCAAAAAGGAATGGAGATTTAATATGTGTCTTCTCAACATTTTCATTTAAACTGCAAATGGACTGATAGGCCATCGTAATGCACAAGCATGTATTTCGAAGAAAATCATTACAACCCATATTAATATAAAACTAGCAACAAATTATGCCCCGCATTCGTAGCAGAGCCCACAAATCTTGGCAGGACCTGGGAGCAAACCACTTGTCTATAAGCCAACAAGGTGAAGCTTTCATGCTCCCCGCTCAACAGGTTCCTTGCTTGGCGATTTTTACAAAGAAAGAACAACCACCAGTATATGTATGAGTGTAGCAACCCATGCTGTGTACAAGGGTAGCCTCATACCATTTTGAAAGGCGTTTTGTTGTTGTTGTTTTAAATCCTCCAATGGTGTATACCAGAGGCTTTCCCCAATAGTCACAAGAATTAAATTTCTAATCACTGGTGATAAAAATTAATCATATCATCAGGATGCTAAATAAGACTTTTTATTTCTTTATAACTGAATTATTAATAATAAAATCTCCCTCTCCAGAAACTCACACTTATTATTCATGAAAGCAGAAAATGGGCATGCTTCTTCCTTCTCAACAACTTATTCCTATATTTATATTCAAACATTACCCACAAATACTTGTGCTTTGTGAATGAAAAATAAACCTCATATCACCAGGTATGCTGTTGGAAATTTTCTCAAAATCTCTATTAAGCATAATTGCATACTGAATATTTTATGCAGGGTACAACCTCATCTTTCGGAATAGCCTGAGAGACATCCAGACTTGCCCAGTCATCAGTAGCTTACCAAGACAAGCACGCTGTTTACAAATGTTTTCGTATAATAGGTCTACCTACAATACACAGTACATCCAAACAACATGTTCTGGATAAATGGGGGAAGCCGGAGTAGGATAGACAGAAAGAGAAAGAGAGAGCCAGCAAATGAATAGACCCACCTTAAAATATTCAGAAATAATTAAAAGAATGAGATTAGAAGAAAAGACAACATGTTGGAGATGTAAACACCCGAAAGCAGATATGCTACATACAGTGGTACCCCGGGTTACAAACACTTCAGGTTACAGACACCGCAAACCTGGAAGTAGTACCTCAGGTTAAGAACTCTACCTCAGGATGAGATCAGAAATCGCACACCAGCGGCAGGGCGGCAGCAGCAGGAGGCCCCATTAGCTAAAGTGGTACCTCAGGTTAAGAACAGTTTCAGGTTAAGAACGGACCTCCAGAACAAATTAAGTTCGTAACCAGAGGTACTACTGTATTTAGAATGGACCAGTAATACAAGTATTTTGGAGATTAACACTAAATAAGATTAATGAAGGTGAAGATTCCATCGTAGTTACTTCATAAACTGCTTAGAGGCTTTATTACAATCAGGTAGTATATAATGTTTTGTAAATAAATATGTTTTTAGATTGGAGGCTGAAAAATAACTTAGTCTGCAAATTTAATCCCACTGATTTGGGAGTAAGCCCCACTAAAATCTGTGGGACTTACTTCAGAGTAAACAGGGTTAGGATTGCAGCCATATTTATTACTTATTAAAAGCAGCTAAAAGTTTAAACATGCAGAATTGGAAGAATGCTAATGAATTGGAAAATTTGCCTCTAGGAAAATGATCAAATTGGAGAAGTTAGCTTTTTCAATCAAAAAGAGTAATGGGGAGTTTGGTGCAGCCAAAATAAGAAGGATTTAGCAAACCCTCATCAGCTGAGAAGTGGACGGCTAAATCCTGTTTCAGTTACAAGCACTTGTTTGTGCAGCCAAGGCAGAATTGAACCCCAGCCACCCCACTTCATAAGTGACACCAGCTGTTTGACAGGTGGAAAATGGAAATCCTGGGGTGGGGGCAAGATTAGCTCATAGCCCAGGGGTTTCCCTACTCCTGCTTTAGGAATCCCCATCCCATGTTTGAGGCTTCCTCATGCCTGCTGATACCGCATTCTTGTGCATGGATGATGCTGTGTACCATACAATCCACACTTGGAGAGCAACAGTTCTTCACCCAATTCTACATATGGGAGGCTAGTAGCAAGCCCACTCACTAGGGGGCAGATGCAGGCTTAGAGCACAACACTTGATACATGAAGCCTGTATGATGTCCCTACATTCTGAATTGCAGCATCCTCTAGGCTAGGGAAGGGGTCAGCAAACTTTTTCAGCAGAGGGCTGGTCGACTGTCCCTCAGACCCTGGGGGGGGGCAGACTATATTTAGGGAGGGGGAAATGAACGAATTCCTATGCCCCACAACCCAGAGATGCATTTTAAATAAAAGCACACATTCTACTCATGTAAAAACACGCTGATTCCTGGACCGCCTGCGGGCTGGATTTAGAAGGCAATTGGGCCGGATCCGGCCCCCAGGCCTTAGTTTGCCTACCCATGCTCTAGGGTATCCCAAAGCTGTAGCTGTCCCAAATATGGAACTGCAAAAAGCTCACAAAGAGGAACCAGAAATATTTTGCAATAATTTGATAGTGGTTGTTAGAAAGTCAACATCAGTGCATCACAGTAATTAGCCATTAAAGCCCTCTTTGTTGTAACTAAAACGAGGCAACAGACAACTTCACAACTAAAAACCAGAAAGCTGAATATTTTAAAAACCAATCTGGTACCTGATAGCTTCATAAGAAGTTCGGATGCTGCTTTGACAGACATGTCCTGCTGCAATACATTCGCCGGCACTTCTTGTGGCTTGAGATTCTCCTCGGGAAGGCTTGCGGAAGATGTTTCAGGCTCAGGACTAAAAACGTAAGTAGATTTCGGAAAAGTGGAGCTTGCATTTTCCTCATCTTTCGGTTCATCTTTCACTTTAAATGTAGGAGGCAAGGGTTCTTTTTGATTTGCAGCTGTTAACAGAAGGGGAGGAAAGGGTTCAGTGAAGTGCGTAAATGTATAATCAGAAGACAGCAAGTTCACAAGAGTCATGGGGAACAGTTTGGGACGATGGTGCAGGGCAGGGAACTCTACACAGAAAACCAAATTGGGCAGGCTTCAAGATGCAACAAGTACTGATAAATTCCTACACAAAATCCTACACAAAAGGCAACCAGATAGCTGATGCCTTCTGAATGCCAATCCTAGAATATACTTTCTGATGCAGTCTGGGGGAAGAAGCACTAATTCATCCCACTGGTTAATCTATTGGAATTCCAAAAAGTTAGGATCCTCACTAGGCAGTAATGCTTCAAGCTGCCTTTGGAGTTCTGTTGCATCCATGAAGCAGAACTACATCATTAAAAAAAAAATCTTTGTCAGGTTTTGGGACAATGGAGATAAGTGTCTCACAGAACAACAGAGGGAGCTCCCCACGCTCCAAGCCCATAGGATTCCTCAAATAATGCCTGCAGTGGCAGGATATGCAGCTTGCTCCAACCAGACATATAGCTGTCTAGCCCTGGCACTTTTTCCTTTCTTTAATTACACCCTTTCTATTTTGCTCGTTTGCAGAGAAGCCTGCAACGCATCGATCTGGGCCAAAGCAAGCTGGGTGGGTGGGGATATAGTTCAATTTTGCAGAAAAGGCTGACAGGGAACTATCCTCAGGCTCCATCTAAGTTTTTGCCGTTGTTCATATTATAATAAATGGAAATACTCTCCTAAAACATTGCTAGTAAATTTCGCAAGCCCACTAAATAAAACATCATCGCCTGCTGTTTTATGAGCTGGAACTCTGTTAAGTATCGCAGTGCTGGTCAAATGTACAATTCCACACAACATTTTGGATACACATTGCTCTGATCAATGGGTTTAATTTCTTCCTTTAGCATAACATCTTTCCCCTTGTGTGGCATTGACATATCTACCAAGTTTACATTTTCATCTTTCAGATATATTCCATTCCTTCAGTGACTTTATAACATGTTGCTAGGTAACAGTGCACACAAGTCAGGTTTCAGGACCTTTCGTTAAGACACTATAAAATGAGCGCATGGGCCTTTTTTTGCATGAAAAATGCACATTGGGGGCCTTTACTATTCCTGTCTGTTGAACACTAAAGATCAATTTCTAAATAAAAAAACATGAAGAGTGAGACTGTATTCTGTCTGTATTCTGTTCTCCTCTCCCCCTAAAATGCTTCTTGCTGCCTTTCTTTCAGCCACCACAGGCTCTGCTATCACCAAGTCAGTAGAGGTAAGGTTGAAAGTTACTGAACGCATGGCATATATTTAAGCAGTGTTATTCTAAAATGCCAGAGCAGTAGCACAAATTGGTTACAAACCTTTGGATTTGGGTTTGAAAAAGGGGGAAGGGATATCAGTGTGTTCCTAATTCTAAACACCTATCAGTTCCTCATAATTTTATGTCACTATAATCCAATGCATGTTTAAAAGGTAAAGGTAAAGGGACCCGACCATTAGGTCCAGTCGTGGCCGACTCTGGGGTTGCGGCGCTCATCTCGCTTTATTGGCAGAGGGAGCCAGCGTACAGCATCCGGGTCATGTGGCCAGCATGACTAAGCCGCTTCTGGCGAACCAGAGCAGTGCACGGAAACGCCGTTTACTTTCCCGCTGGAGCAGTACCTATTTATCTACTTGCACTTTGACGTGCTTTCGAACTGCCAGGTTGGCAGAAGGGACCGAGCAACGGGAGCTCACCCCATCGCAGGGTTTAACCCACAGCGCCACCCACATCCCTTCAATGCATGTTTAAGGTAAAGGTAAAGGTACCCCTGCCCATACGGGCCAGTCTTGACAGACTCTAGGGTTGTGCGCCCATCTCACTTAAGAGGCCGAGGGCCAGCGCTGTCCGGAGACACTTCCAGGTCACGTGGCCAGCGTGACAAAGCTGCATCTGGCGAGCCAGCGCAGCACACAGAAACGCCGTTTACCTTCCCGCCAGTAAGCGGTCCCTATTTATCTACTTGCACCCGGGGGTGCTTTCGAACTGCTAGGTTGGCAGGCACTGGGACTGAGCAACAGGAGCGCACCCCGCCGTGGGGATTCGAACCGCCGACCTTTCGATCGGCAAGCCCTAGGCGCTGAGGCTTTTACCCACAGCGCCACCCGCGTCCCAATGCGTGTTTACTTGGAAGTAAATCCCAATACTGCATTTACTCCCTAGGAACTGTACCTCTTAGAAAACTAGTAGAAATTGCTTGCTCTTAGCATATCAGACTGCATTTGTTAAGCATTTTTAATTGTCAATTCGTCTTTACAAATCTTCTCTCCATCCTATGTTTGCCAATAGCAGTTTTTGTAACCCCAGAAATCCAACATTTAGGGTAAATCAAGACAATGAAGCATGGGTGGGCACTGTGGCCACCTTCAGCCTAAGTCAGCATGGCCAATGGGCAGGGATTATGGAAGCCTCGATGACACCATATTGGCTACCCTTTCTACCAGCCCACACTTCTCTACATTCCTCCCCATCTTCAGTGCAGCAGATGGCTCTTCGGTGAAGGAACAGTCCAGTGTTGACACACCTGTTATGGAATGCTCTCCCCAGAGAGGCTTTCCCCTTTCCCTTCACCAAGTCACCAAGTGAGGCTTTTCAGAAAAAGTCTGAAGTACTAGCAATAGTCATAATAAATGGCATATCTGCATATTCAGTTGCATCAGCAACAAAAAAGAAAATGAAAATTATTTTCCCCAAATCCTCATGGATCCACTAGGAACAATATTAATTGTTACAATTTGCAGGGCGGGGGTAGGGGGGCTAAACATTTGGGGAAGAAGCATGAATAGGTGTATGTGTCAATCTGAACCTATTCTGTGGTTTATTACTGTAGAGCATGGCATAGGTAAGAAAACTGACATAATCCTAATAGGACAGGAGACCCTCCATGATGAACTCTGGTGACCTTGGTACAAGTCTGATTCCAGCCTCATCTCCTGGAGGGCATTCAAGAAATTCTGAGTCCCTCAGACCTGGCATAAAGGTCAACACATGTAAATTCAGTTGCCAGTACAGCCTATTTACCACCTAAATGGGGGCCATCAAAATAATTTGAAGGAAAGGAGCAAACAAAGGGTGACCAGTTTAGACATCATGCATTAGGATAATATCCTTTCAAACTCCTAATTTGCAACATGGGCGAGGTAAGAAATGGGCAGGAAACTCTGGAAAAAAGACAATAAGAACTGCAGGAATTGCTCATTTCAAGGCCCCTTCCTCCACTAAGATGCATTAGCAAGAAATATTATAAAACACCTGGATTTTCAGAAGTTAGTTGTGTTCTCCCATTTCCATTGAAAGCAACTCACACAGCGCTCCCAAGGAATCAGCACAACCCCATTTCGCTTAAGGACAGGTATACTCCCCCCCCCCATTTCTTAACTTACTATTAGGGTGAGTCCCGCTGGCCCAAATTGTCACACTCACTTTTGTAGGCTTTGAGAATACTCAGCGAATTTCCCACTGTTTAGGTGAGTAGGTGTTGTAGGGTTTGCGGCCTGCTTAAATTGTAATTTTTCTGTCTGAAGCAGCATTTATATATTCTGTCATTTTCATTTCATATAATAAACCAAGCTTTCTTTATTCTTTTTGTTTAATAACTTCTTATGGGCATGGGGTTGAGGGCAATCACATATTCATAAACAGATGCATGTTATAACTTTCTTGTTATCCTAAATTTCTTGTTTTCCTAAATTTCTTGTTATGGTGTGTGTATGAATATGTGAGTGCTGGACACGCACATCAGTTCAAACACATACTGTAACAGAAGGGACGTTTCAGAGTTTTACACTCTTTTTTGAACACAAACCTGTAAGTGAAGACAGTCAGAATGACAGAACCCCAACATGGCAAGAAGCAGAGTTGCAAAATATTCTGCACATCACTCAGCAAGAGCATCATGATTAGTGATATCCCAGTGCTGGCACCCTTCCAAACTGGCCAACACTTTAGTTATGTGATCACACCAGTGATTTAACTGCCTGCTGTCGTGGTCCCACAAGACATTTGGGCATCAGTGCAGCTGCATAGCTAATGCATAACAATTTAGGGCAAATGATTATGTTCTTTTGAATGCTCAGATACAAAAACTGGAATCACATTATTAATTTCCAGAGGGCTGTGCTGCATTAGTCTGTTCTGCAGCAAAACCAACCATGTTAGCCTTATAGCACTTTAAAAACTAGCAAATTAATCATGGCGTGAGCTTTCATTGATTAAGAGCCAAATTTCAGCAGAGAGGGACAATAGAGAAGTAGGGCCACTTCATCAGCTCTGCTGAGAAGTCTGATCCATTCCTGTTATCTGGCAATAGCCGTTCCATCAAGCTGCAGTGAGGGAGAAAGGAGGAGGAGAGGCACACCATCAGCTCTCTTGAGAAACCTGCTCTATCCAGTTTCCCCACTCCAACTATCAACTTGTGACAGCCATTCCTGTCATGTTGCAGTGGGGCGAAGGGAGAAGGGAAAAGAGACCACTCCATCAGCTCAGCTGAGATAGTAGCAACTTTTGGCTCCTCTTCTCCTTAAACTCTTTCCATTACAGCTGAATTATTATAAGAACTTTGTAACCAAAGGAGTAATCCCAACCAAGATCCAATGGGATAAGCAAGGTTGGAAGTCCACGATCCTGGTTCAGGTGGAGATACACTTAGCAGGGGCCCAGCTGAGGAAGTCCTTAAAAGGGGTGTGGCAAGGGGTGATGGAGCAGGGGAGACTTACCACTAAGCCCAATTCCTTTCAGGTCAGTCACATGATCTTGCAAATTGCACTGGAAAAAGGGTGCTGTCTATTTTAAAGGCTTGTTTTCCCTCTGCTGGGCTCAGGCCAACTCAGCTGGCAGTAGTCCCACTTCAGAGCTAAGTCTGGAATAGGGATACATTTCACCGGAATAATTTATCCTGTGAATTACACTGGCTTCCTATAATTTGGATTGCTCTGCCCCTATAAATGCTTGAATTTGCTTTTTCTCTCCTGACTCCCAATTCTTTTTCCTTTTGCGTTGCATCATTGGATTGTAAGCCTAAAGGCAGGGACTGTTTTATTATTGATCTTTGTAAAGCTCTGAAAACCTTTTCAGCTGAAATAAAAGCACCTGAAATAAATACATAAATTAGTTAGCCTTGAAAGTGCTCCAGGATTCCTTGTTGTTGTTGCACTATTAATGTAAATTCAAGGTGGGGAGACACCTGAGATCCATCGCCTCAAAATATAAAACAGGGACATAAAACTGAGCTGTCTTACATGAGTTGAGGAACTTCAGCCCACATCTCAAATACCCAAGAGTAGAGATGCTTGAAGAATTCAATCTTTGCCACTCACTATAAGAATTAAGCTTAGATTCATGTGCCAACTGAAACTTAAGTATTCACTTCTCTGAATATTGCAAGACAGTTCTCAGTAGTTTTTATTATAAATTTATTTGGAATATTTCCAACCTGCTCTCTGTTAAATATAATCCCAGAGCGTGCTACAACATAATGCACATAATGCATAAGAATTCCAATCATGGGCATATTTACTTGGGACTCAGTTCTATTGACCTTGGAGTCTCTGTGACCCCAGTTTCTGGTAACATTTAGAACTTATTCTGAGAGAAAAATACGAGTTAACTATGTCTTAAAACTTGTGTTTAAATACATACTTTGTAAGGATTTAACTGGGTGGCATAGTGAGTAAAAACATGGAAAAGGGGATGCAGACCAGAAGCAGAGAGTTTTGTCATCCTTACCTGAGAGCTTCATGAGAAAATCTGATGCCATCTTGACAGAGATGTCCTGGCTGAAAAGTGCCGATGCTGTATTGGTCACAAAGTCAATGGAGTCTTTTAGCTTTGTGTTGTTGGTGATTCTGTCAACAACACTGAGAGTGAAGGTTGGGGTGGAGGTGCTGCTGTCATCTTTGGGCTCTTCTTTTATTAGCAGAGGTGGGACAGTAGATCCAGCCACCTCAGGAGTTTTAGAGGTGGCCGCAGTCCCTGCGTGGTCTGTTGCCCCATCCATCTGCTGCCCCATTCTGGAGTTGTCACTTAGCAATGGTGACCCCTTGACATCCATTTCTGGGATCTCTTCCTTCACTTTGGCTTCTGTCCTCAGGAAGTGCTGGTGGCAGCGCATGTGGAGTTTGAGGCTGAAGTGGCGAGAGGAGGTAAATGGGCATAGCTGGCACTGAAATGTCTCTCCCCGGTCTTGATGTTGGTGAACCTGATTAAGCGGTTGATGATTAGGTAACAGTGACAACAACAGCAACAACATCTCTCAGACAAATAGCAGAAACTTATTCCAGACCAATACTGTGCATATCTCCTACTGGCTGCCTTCCTGCCTCCTTAGTGCTTATAGAGCTCAGTACATTTTATTTGCACATCTCAAAAGACCTTAACAAAGGAGGTCAGCATGATGAGCTGAGATTGACTCTCCTGTCTATATGTGACAATTTAATGATGAATATTTCACAGTACACATCTTTGTTCAGAGGTCACGGGTTAAAAGTCACAGAATTATTCAAGAGCAAGCTGCAAAGCACATTGCTTCTCAGATTAGTTCCAAAAGCAATTATGTCCTGTAATCTCTATCTCTATCTATCTATCTATCTATCTATCTATCTATCTATCTATCTATCTATCTATCATCATCTATCTCTATCATCTATCTATCTCTATCATCTATCTATCTATCTATCTATCTATCTGTATATAAGAGTGTGAGTGTGTTTACACACTGTAGGGAACAAAGACTAGGTCATAAGAACTGATTCACTGGAAAGAGAGAGAGAGAGAGTTCCAAGGAATCAGTCCTTATGACCTAGCCTTTATTCCCTACAGTGTATAAAACTCTAAGAACTCCATCCTTGGTCACGTTTACTTGTGAATAAATTCCATTGACCTTAGTGTATCTGTATGCCCAGTTCAGGAGTTCTGTTGCTGCTGCCTTTCCAGTTGATGGCAGCCAGCATCTAAATCACATTGATGGAGGAGGGGGAGGAACACAGAACACAGCAGGGCTGGCATCTTTGCCCATCCATGCCAATGCAACATCTGTTCTGGCCACTAGGTAGCTAACTGCAATTGAAGTGGTTTGCAAAGTTCATAACTGCAAACTGATTGCTTGCTCATGGTTTAATAAATCACAACCATGATTGGACATCACTATACACACACACACACACACACACCCACCCCCAAAGGGAGAATGCATGGAGATACTGAAATCTTAGGCCTTCGCATGTAGAACAATGCCTTACATATTTGGGTTTCTGATAGCAGTTTAGTTAATCTATGCCTTGTATTACAGGCACCTCTGCAATGATGCACCTTCATCATACCTGCTCTGTACTTGGAACTATATTCAGGGATGGGAAACCTGTGGCTCATCAGATGTTGTTGGACTACAACTCCCCTCATCCCAGAACATCATATTTATATCCAAATATGAACTGATTCCTGAGATCCTTAAGGTTTCTATTCCTATAGCTGCAAAACACTGTATTAAAAACAAATTTAGAGAGTGGGACCTTTTGTTAACTAGATGTCATCGTTAAGATATGCAATTTTCATCATTTTATTGTTGTTTTTAATCTGATCATCATCTTTCAGATTACTTTTCTGAGTTATCTGTTGGTGCAATTGAGAAAGCATTAACTGCACTAAGATTCCAAACTATGTCCACAGTATATTTAGATGGGAGATAAGTTAGAATATCTGTAAATTGTTGTTTGTGTATTAGTGGCCAGGGAGATATCGAAGATGTTCACTAAGTATTATATTGTTCCACTATAATTTCCCTAAGGACAGGTTTTTGAAAGAGATTCTTCAGACACTTTCCTTTTTTAAACAGTAGGGGGGGTTGGTTATTTACTGATGGACAGGGATAACCTGAGCTCAGTCAGTAGAGCATGAGGCTCTTAAATCTCAGGGTCATGTGTTCGAGCACCACGGTGGGTGAAAGATTCCTGCATTTCAGGGGGTTGGACTGGAGGACCCTTGTGGTCCCTTCCAACTCTACAATTCCATGACTCTACATAAAGTTTCTATGTTTATTCTAGTGGCTCAATGGATCAGACAAAAATTTGTCACACAAAACGGGGTCCAACGTTCTGGAGTTGATCTATGTTAAAAATGTATCTCTCAACTTGATTGTTTGTAGTGTGGTGATCAATGGTTTTTAGCAAATAAATCCAACTCTTTGATGGGCTGACTATTGGCCATTCTGGCTGGGCTCATAGAGGTTGGAATCCAACAGCATTTGGAAGGCCATGGGTTTCCCATCTCATGGATAATTACATTTTCGCCCTTATAATGTTATAAGTGATGTGTAGCTGTATGTACTAGACCAAGGCTCTTATCAAGAAAAGCTTGGCACAGACTGATATTTTGTGTTCATTTAGGCACAAACATCTCACAGCGGACCTCTCTGAAAAATTATTGCAAAGCTTAGCTGCATGTATACAATCCCTTGCATGCAAGCAAATGGGTTTCCTGGATGGTGGCCAAACGTTGGCAAGTATTTGTTATAGATAGCAAGAAGGCTACTGCTTTCCCTGCCCAACCCCTGTGCTGGAGAAAATGAATCCATTAAAATGGCACTAGAAAAAAACCAAAAAAAAAACCAACAACCACCATGCTGGATTTTATAACGAGTGGGGTTTTAAAGAACTGCAATGACCTCATAGACTGGATTTCTTCAATTACCAGTATCCACTGACCTTACCTTCATGTGCGATTTTAGATTGTCCTTGCGTGCACAGCGAAATGGACACAAAGGGCATTGATGGCTTTTTAAGCCTGTATGTATAACCATGTGTCGCTTCCAGTAGCTCTTCCTTTTTATCACTAGGCCACAGATCGGACACTGGAAAGGTTTCCCACCTTCTTCTTCTGAGGCTTAGGATAAGGAGCAATAAAGAAAGAAAGAAAACATCATTAAATTGTAGTGAACGTCTCCAAATACAGTTTTGCAAATTTTATCTCTCTCCTGTGGAAATACCTATTGAATGCTTTTCCTTAATGTTTTCATTCATCTCTGGGTACAGAACTTTTAGAACGTTGAATAATCATTTCCCTGGAATGGGGATCCTATGGGTCCAATGAAAGTGATGCTGGCAATAGAGGACAAGTGTCCCATTCATACTTTGGTCAACCAGCAGAGGATGCTACTGTGCTTTACCTAGCCTCGTGAATATAATCCTGCAGCTAATTTTTTTTGCTTTTGACCTATGTAATACAGAGAAAGTACTTGGCTCTTTCTTTCACTTTCTTTCACTGAAGTATTCAAAGAAAAGGGAAGTGATTAAATTACACAGTAATCCACACCTCCTGAATGAAAGCAATACTGAGCATGATATACTGCATTTGCAATACTGATGCTGAGAGATTTTAGAGCCCCTGCTGCTGCACAATTTCATTCTGGCTCAAGAAGACCACTGATGCCACTTCAGGATTCAGAGGCAACTCTGAGGTCATTATTTAATTCATTACTCAGTTTTACCTACACATTATGTCTAGAGCTTAATTTGAGCCCTAGAATCTGCTTTCATTGTGAGCAACCAGATAAAAAAATTAAAAACCATTGATTTCAGTACAACTTCTATGGCTAAATCCCTTCCCAAACTGCTGCTCCTTTCTCATGGACATATGAGGGATGGAACTAAAGGTGTTTCTGCATTTGGTTGAAGGAATCTTTCGGTCGGAAGAAGATTCCTTCCAGGGGAAGTAAAGGACCATACATATTCTACTCAGATATAAAACAATTTACTTATTCTTCAAGCTGGTCCTCACCTAAGGGACCACAGCTATGTTTGAATGGTCACAAGACTTTTCATAGAAGACCTGACTTTTGCATCAAGAATTCACTTTAGCATTTCATTACAACTCCCCCATATTAATCCCTGGAATCCTTTTTTTTTTTTAAGTATCATATATTATATCTGAATGCTGCTCTTCACACCTGCTGGTTAAGCTAGAGAGAAAAGCGCCTTTGAACATACACAGAGCAATCAACCACAAAGCCGCTACTTATGCATAATGTTAAAAGATGAGCCCAACAAACGATGGCTTGTTTTTAGACTTGGACTCTCACACACTGCTCATTCCCTTTCCCATAGGCGCCGACTCCATGGGGCCTGAGGCGGCTCGAGCCCCCTCAAAAAAAATTTGGGGGGGGCTCAGCCCCCCCAATAATCTCGGGCGCCCTTCCAGCAGAGCGCCGCCGCCGTCCCCCACCTCCTCCCCACCTGCTCCCTCGCCAGCCAGCCAGCCAGCCACGCGCCCTAGTCGGAGAGCCCCGGCCGTCCCCCGCGAGATTAAGGAATCCCCGGGGGCGGGGGCTCCTGCCTCGCTGCTTCGCAGCACCACCGCCACTGCCAAGGCACTGCCGGGGGGAATTTCCTTCCTCCTGGCCCCCGCGAGAACAGGGGAATCCCGACTGGCCACACCTCCCAGCCAGCCGATTGGCTGGCTGGGGGGCGTGGCTTGCCCTATTTAGGGCCGGAGCCACTTTATTTGTATATTCATGAGCTTATTTATTATTCATGAGCTTTCCCGGGCCCCCCCCCAATATTTTTTATAAGTCCGCGTCCCTGCCCTTTCCTCTTTTTTTACATGCAAGGGGAGGAAATGGGAAACTGTGGTTTGTTACAAGCCATGACTGGAAGCTTTAAATTTCCTCCCCTCACACTTTAAAGGAGGAGGAGCGAGTCAGTCCAAGGTTCACATTTGTTCATTCTTATAAAAAGAAACCACTGTTTGTCATAACTTCTGAATCAGGCCACTGAGTCAAAATATATAATTTATAAACAGCCTTATGTCCCAGCACCTCAAAAATTAAGTGCTTCTTTTATAAATGTGGCCATCAGTCATTACTGATAGTGGGTGCTATCAAGGCAAGGTAAAGATTTTGCAACTTGTTGAAAATGCAAAGAGGAAGAGAGGATTCTTCCCACTGAGTTGACATAATCAACCATCTGACATTACACTGCAAATTCCTAGTCCTGTTATGAGAAAGTTTACAGTGTTACCTTGGAAACAGGAGATATTTCTGTGACTGCCGAAAGGATATCTGATTATTTTCAAAACTGCAAAAGTCAGTGGCGTTTTTCTTGTGATATTTAGGAATTATGTCCAGAATATTACAGCTCACTCCCTAATGTATTCATCAGCTGTTTTTCATCTTTGAGAACTCAAATGTCAATACTTTCTACGACTTGGAATGCAGTGATAAAACCTGCATGAACTTGTCATTTCCTGCTGCAGACTTTCTTGTAAAGATATAATTCAGCTGACTTTGCTAGAGCCCTACTGGATTGTTCATGTGTACTCTGAATCTGTTTCAGCAAATTAAATAAATACAGACCTCAAGTGTCCTGTGCTGAAACAGGTGAAATCAGTAATCTGCATAAGTGATGCAAATTAAGGAAATACATGCAAATCTGCTTCCTTATTTAATTTATTCTGCAACTTGGGTTAGGTGGGGGAGATGAGAAACAGAAAAGCTACAACAGAAAGCATTGAAGCCCTGCCTTCAAACATCAGAAAGCCTGCTTAATCGCCAGTTTCTAAGATTTCACCAGACGTTGCCTATACGTCTTCAAATCCCAAAAGACTAGAAACTTTGGTTTTGTCTATAAAATATCAAAGCTTCCAGAGATTCTCAGGATGCTAAATTCTATGTTCAGTGCTGAATATACTGTATGTGCAATTTAAGTATATAAGCAATCCATCTTATTAGTTTAATAAAACAAGCATGTGAGAAAAAATGCAAAGTTCTCTCACATTTCACATCATGTATGATACAATTTTTCCATCATGGCACTGAGAATTATAATCTGAAAACAATGCCAGAATTGTTGCTTTCTCACTAACAAATTCTCCCTAAAACGGTAGGTTAAGTAAAACTTATTTTTCTTGCGTCCTGTCATACCGTTCCAGATATGCTGGAACTGCCATCCCACTCACTCTGTTAATCAGGACACTGCTCTTTCCTACTTTTAAGTCTTTCCTCAAAATTTTATGCCTTTCCTGAATCATCTGATCCTCACTTTACCACAACTGCTATCTGACTATTCACAACCAATTCCAACTTTTCAGATGCAAATCCATGACTTAATCCTTGTTCAATAGACTGTGAGCTATTTGATGGAGTGTGTATATACACCCACACACTGGGCAATGCCAGACCCACACTGTTGGTGCTAAAAATCAATGTGCAACAGTAGCAGCAACAGCAGCAGTAATAGTGATATCAGTGAATTTTCTACTTATTTTTTCCACCTGAGCTCAAGTCCAACTGTCTGGCAATGTTGATCAGTGTTCCCCAACCTGATCCCCTGCAGATGTTTTAGGCTACAACTCCTATCATCTCCAGCTAGTGCAACCATTGCTACCAAAAAAGTAAGAGATAAAATATAAGCAAAGCCCACCTGTTCAGCCCACTTCTTAATTCCTTCCTATGCCATTGTAAATCCAGTTCACCTTTAGACTAGGCTTGGATTGTGTGCCTCTTCAAATCCTAAGCATGTTCACTTTGAAGTACGTCCCATTGTGTTCAATGGAGCTTATCCCTTAATAAGTGTGTTTGCAATCCTATGAACTCTTTCTTAAGAGAAGGTCCCACTGAACTCATTGGGACTTACTACTGAGTAAACATGCATTGGGTCCAGCTGCATAACCACAACTGGCTCTGTAACCAGCAGAGTTAATGTTTTTAGGTGTACTTTATTCTAACCACCCGCTTTAGAAAGTACATGTACCAGATCAGGCTTCCTCAAACTTGGCCCTCCAGATGTTTTTGGCCTACAACTCCCATGATCCCTAGCTAGCAGGACCAGTGGTCAGGGATGATGGGAACTGTAGTCTCAAAACATCTGGAGGGCCGAGTTTGAGGAAGCCTGTACCAGATATTTCCAGATGGCAGAAACATAACTGATCATATAGGAACCAGCACCACTTTCTCTTAATCATTTCCAGCTTTCTAAATGTGATTAAAATGCTGCTTCCCTCATAAGCAAATAATGTAAATGCCGAAGAAACAGAGCATGCTTGCCAATGGAAGGTTCCATCCCATTACTTGCTGGAGGACAAGTGGCCTGCAAGACAAATTTCCCCTAATATTTCAGTTCAGCTCTATAAAAACGTTGGGCGTATCCAAAGGTATTGCTTCGCTCACGAGAAAGAGTGCGGAATATTTATGTTCACATATGTTCAGAAGTGATCCCGCTGAGTCAATCAGATCTATGATTCTGGGAACATGGCATTACAAGATTCAAAACCAGACTTATCCTACTAAAAGTTTAGAAAGGATGTGTATATTGTAGAACAGCCTTTGTCAAAGCTGGTGTCCTCAAAATGTTTTGGACCACAGCATGTGCTGGCTGGGGCTGATGGGAGCTGTACTCCAGAAAATCTGGAGGGCACCAAGTTGGCAAAGGCTGCTGTAGAGAAACCACTATTTTTCCAAAAAATAAAATAAAAAAATGTCTAGACAGGATTCACAAAGCCTTGGGATAGCAGGACATATTCCTTATCCGTTACATTCCTTCCAGATTTTAAATGATTGAATCTTTTCAATATTTTAAAACAGCATTCTGGGGAACAGTCAACGGGGTGTTTTGTCCATTTCAATATTGCATTTTTACATGGTTGTAAATCTCCCCAGGACTTTTTGATAAAGGGCAAGAAATCTAATAAACAACTACAATGAGACAGCTTTACATGGTATAGTGATCTACCAGATATACGTACTTACATGAACTTTCCAAATGACTGCTACCCTTTCAACACAAAAGTTTCGGTGAACTCCACTTTCTCCATTCCCTTGCTTCCCAGTCCATATTTACATACCATTTGATTGCAATAAAACCTCAAACCAGTTTACAAAAACCTCACAACCCATTAAAATTATCCATAACAGACAATTAAAGGCAGATGAAAACACAATAACATCTACGTATCTGGATATAAACATTTTAAGCAGGCGCTGGAAAGGGTACAAGCAGAGGCACCTGCCTAATGTCAACAGGCAGGGAGCTGCAAAATGTAGGTGCTAAGAATGTGTTGTAGTAATTCAACCTGCTTGGACTACCGTGGTCAAACTCTCCCAGTCCAGGAATAGCTGCAGCTGTCACACTAGTCGCAACCCCTGAGGCTACCTGGACCTCTAGTGACAAAGCTGGATCCAGAAGCACCTCAGACTGCATCCCTGCTCCTTCAGGGGCAGTAGAACCCTATTGGTGCAAGCAATTAATCACTTTCTCAGACACAGGAAGCGATTGCCCATGGTGCCTCCACCTTGCCAGGATTCAAGCTCAGTCTACTTAATGATAAAGCTTAAGACAAGGGTATCTAAAAGATCATCTCACCCCCTACATGCCCAACTGACCACTGCATTCTGCAGCAGAGGGCATCCTATGGATACTAGGCAGAAGGCCTTCTCTTATTTTTTTTATAATAATTTTTATTAAATTTTTCCTTTTACAAATTCGTCATCCCATACAATATTCACAAATTTCAACCTTTTGGACTTCCACCAGCTTCTCCTCCAATCATCCATATTTTAGGCAGAAGGCCTTCTCAGTAGCGGTGCCCGCCCTGTGGAACACCCTTTCATCAAATGTCAAACAGATAAACAACTATATGAAGACATCTTAGAAGACATTTGAAGGCAGCTTTCAGCGGATGGCCCAGTCGGATGGGCAGAATATAAATAATCAAATTGTTGCTGTTGTTGTCATCCTACCATGAGGTCCACCTTGCACGATGTTGGAATTGGGTTTTTAGTGTGCCCTTTGGAACTTCCTCCCATTACATTTCAGGCAGGTGCCTTCACTATTTTCCTTTTGGCACCTATTGAAGGCATTCTCCTTTCAACAAGCCTTCTAAGTGGAGATCTTCATTCAGTTAGCCTCTGTATTGGATTTGAATTGATTTTATTTATGTTGTTCTTTTAAAATGCTTTATATAGATACTTGTGATTTTATAAAATTGTTTTTATATATGCAATTGTTTATATTGTTTTATAGAATTGTAAATCCCACTGGAATACTTTATGTGTAGCAATGCATAAATGAAATAATTATAATGATACCCTATTAGAAAAATACCATATCTGGCTGTGCTGATGGTTCAATAGTGCTGACCCACGCTCCGTTCCTGTATTTGACTGAGTATCTATTCCACAAACATGGAAGCAGAGGAAGAGGAAGCGTGAGTGACGCTTCCTCGGGATTCTGCAACCATCAGACTATAAATGCTAATGGTGATGAAAAGAAGCAAATTCTTCATCTATTTGAGCCATTCTTTACCCGGCCATATAGTAAATGAGAAATGCTGCCGATATAATCCTTGAGGGAAATCACATTTATCTTAATGGCAACTGGACAGGACTCATGGCTATATGAGCAGGAGGTCTACAAAAATAACAAACAAAGCTTCAAAAAAAAAGAAATATACTGTGTATGCCATAAATATACAGAATGCCATAAAACTATGGTTTTGAAAAGAATCAAAGGAATGCATGGGATTTATTTCCACTGCGATTATACTCAGTTTCTACACTCAGCTCAATTGCTCAAAATTTTCTTCTTCCCAAAACATGTATTAACGGTGACCTCTTTCTGCAAGCGGTACCATTTCTGCAGCAGTGACAAACACTACAGAGTACCGTGTGCCTAAAAAACAGCCCAACTCCTCTTTAAAAACGAAGAAGAAAAAGGTAAAGGATTATTATTCGTCTGATTATCATCTAGTTAACTATTTTCAAGTCAAACAAGGAAGCAAAGCAATGCTTCTGAAGATCAGTTGCTGGAAATGGCAGGAGGGGAGAATGCCCTTGTGCTCAGGTCCTGCTTGCGTGCTTCCCAGAGGCAACTGGCTAGCCCCTGGAGGAACAGGATGGTGGAGTAGATGGGCCATTGGCCTGATCCAGCAGGCCGTTAGGCTCCTATGAAGTGTCCAACAAACAGTCAAGTCTGTGTAAGATGTTTCCAAAGCAACACCAAAAATATGTATTTTAAACTTATTTGATTTTTACCTAGGGTTTCATAAATGGCCTGTTAACACACAATAGGCTGTGTGTGTCCTTAAGAATGTCACAACTGGACCTGAGATTCCGGAAAACATGGACTTATACAAAAGAAAATGGGTTCTCTTGGAGAGGCTCGAAAGCTATCCTGACTCTTGAAGTTATGTTAGTGGGCCTAGAAGTCTCCCATTGCCACCCAGCAAGTTATATTTTGTTTGTTTCTCCTTTTTTACTTGTTCCCCACGAAGTTTGATTTGGTTTTATTATTTTTACCCCACTTTTCTGTTTGGGGAGACTCAGATCAGCTTAAAAATACTAAAACATATGTAATGAATATTCATTGCATGCTATAGATGGTACTCCATTTGGATGGTTTTATTAATTATTATTATTATTATTACTCTACCACCTAGTCTGGGCTTGGTAGAGAATTAAACTTTACTACAAGCCACTAGACCATGTTCTCTACATGGTCATGAATGTTCTCTGCAAAGTTTACCCAGGATCTGAAAGCCTGTGGCAATCTAGTTCCACTGCTCTCATTGAGCATTGCTGCTTGCTACTCCAAAAAAGTCATGGTTACTTATAAGTTTTCTTTCTTTCTTTCTTTCTTTCTTTCTTTCTTTCTTTCTTTCTTTCTTTTTCTTTCTTTTAAAAAGCATACTAACAATATTAAATGATTAAATGTTAACTTTCTTTGAACTACAACAATATTTCCATGGAAACAAAAATATGGGATGCGTATACTAAAGAATAAATTAGAATTCATATATATCTCATTACTTATCATCTATGGTTTAAAATGTTTATATGTTGTTTGCTAGCAGAATTATCTTTGGGCAAACAACTGAATTCTGCCCTTTCAGACTAAAGCAGTAAAGTGATAAAAATAAGGATAGATAGATTCTACGGAGCATAATTAGGAAAAACCTGTTCATTTTCCTCTGCCTAGTGATATGGTTAACCTCATTTGTAACAGTTAAATGTGATTTTTGTAGCATTTGTAGCACCTGCAGGCACTCCGTCCTCAAAGCAAGAAGAGAACAACGTATACGGGCTTTAAACCCCTGCTTTGCAAATAGGCTGTAACCCTGTTCAGCCATTTGGAATCCTTGTTTCATCAAGAAGGGAGATGGCACCTTCCCCCTGACAAATACACGTTCATCTGAAGCTGTGAAAAAAGCCTAAAGGAAAGGTGGAGATGTTGTGAGACGTACAACTCCCATCATCCCTAAACACTGACCATGCTGGATGGGGCTGATGGGAGTTGGTACAGCAACATCTGGAGGGTCACAGGTTCCCCCATCCTTGGCCTAAAGTGTATGCAAGCACGGTCCCTTCCATGGCTGGAGGAACCTTGCTTTTCTATTTACTATACACAAACAACTGAACAGGACGAGGAGCTGACAAGGTGAGGGAGATGTCGTATGGCATTTGGCTGCTAGTAAAATGCATCCTAGCCTTTTTAAAGTAAAAAATCACACATTCACTGATATGTGCTATCTAACAAGAACTCTTTTATCTCCTCCCCTAAAAATGTCTTTTAAAGTATTTTAAATTCGGTTTGGATAATGAGCCCAGATTTCAGAGAGAACTGTATTAAACACCAGTTTCCTTTCAGACACGCAGGAGGCTAAGGACTCTGATCCATCACATACATTATTTTAACTGCTTTCTGCTTCATTGTGTTTCCTTAACGCACTGAAACAATGCAGAACTGAAAATGCGTACGATGCTTTAACTCTCAGCAGAATGACAGCTCATACCTGGATTAGAGGTTTTAGAACTTCTTCCTTTAGGGGCTGGGAGTAACAATAATTCCAAAGACTGCGGTGGAGTTACTTTCTCTTGCTTCATATCCGAAAGCTGCAGGGGATCTTCTGCAACCAGTGACTTTTTCTTCTCAGCCAAAAGACTGCCTGCAGCTCTTGCAGCGACCTCCTTGAGAAGGGCTGCTGAAGAAGTCATTGAGGCGAGAGAAAGAAAAGAGCTAGCTGGCGGTGGGTGGTCCTGACCAGGAGTCATGCTTCTCTCACTGACTTTCTTTGATAGTGCGGCTAAGGTGGAGCTTGCAGACTGGGAACTAAATGGCGAAGAAAAGGTTTCAAACCTGATAGGATCTTCAGTTCGAGAAAGTGACTTGTCCTGAAGGACTGCATTGGCAGCTGCTTTCAACTTTAGGATGGCTGAGTCCGGAGACAAACCGCAAGATGGCGCCGAGTTGGGCAGCCACTTGCCTTGATTCCATATAAACCGGTTGCTGGCGCCATATTGATCATTATGTTCCTGTTTTTCAGCCAGCTTTCTAGCAAGGACACTTAGCTGCTGAGCATGATGCGTAGGTGGAGAAAAGGAGATGTTTGAGCCAAGATTTACAGGGGACTCAACCCTGCCGTTAACTGCAACACTAGTGTCTAGCTTGAGAGAACCAGCCTCCAGCAGACGTCTCAGGTTACTACTCAGTGGCTTATTGGGGCCAGGAGTGTCATCTTCACATGCAGAAGACACACCGGGGGAAAGGTGTTCTTTATTCTGTAACACGTCCCTCAGAGCCTCGTTCTCAACAGCTGCTAGCTCCAGGGTGTTGCTGCTAGGAGTTGCACTCCCCAGGGAAGTGTCTGGAGATGTGGACTGTTCCTGGATCCTGTCCTCAAAGGATAATTTGAAGTTCTCCTGGACTTCTCCATAGGATGCTTCTGATGGGGTTTCCGAAGAGTTTCCAAACCAGTGATCTTCCTCACTAAGCTCACCTTCAACTTCTTCCTGCCGGGTACCATCTGTGGAGAATCAAAGGGAATCACTTTCATTTCAAGTTCTGTCCAAGTTAAGTGTATCTATAGGACTCAATGAGGTCCTATGAAGTTAACAAAAAGATTCTCAATAAACATTAGTTTGATACAACTTTAGCACCAACTATGTTACGTTTTCAGCATATGTTTAAAACCTATTTCCTCACCCAGAGATCCCAATACCATTGATACTGATTTGGCATATATCGCCAACCACAGTATATTGCACTAAATATCGGTACTTCAATTGTAGATTGTATCATACAGAAACCCCATGAGTTACACAATTAACTCGTGCAAATTCAGGTTTACATGGTTGGCAAAAAAATAAAAAAATAAAAAGGGGGCAGAAAGGGGGTAAGTATCCAGGAAAAAATCCCACCTCCAATTGAACCCAATATGTTCCAGCTATATGTGACTTTGGCTTTAGGCACAATCTTCGGAACATAGCCCGCACGTAAGTTGTGGGGCTTACTGTAATGTGTTTTACTATTTTTACATGCTGCTTTGGATATTGCACAAGAGAAAATTTTCAGTATGTGATATAGGAAAAAGCAGAGAATACTCATCCTTTAGGGCTTTGATGTAACCATTTGTATGCTTGACTTGAGAAATAAGGACAAGCAAATGTATTTGCAATAGGACTATCACAGTTAGCCATTATAGCCCCATCAGCACTATGCATTTGAAGTAGTATTATGCCACTTTAAACAGTCACAGCTCCCTCCCTCAAAGCATTCTGGGAGCTGTAGTTTGTTAAGGGTGCTGAGAGTTGTTAGGAACCCCATTCCACTCACAAAGCTACAATTCTCAGATTTCATAATTAATCCCACTTCCCAGGGACCTCTTTCTTTACTTATATTCAGACATGACATGAAATATTTTGGACCCCACCCAGAAATTGTACATACGGTAGTTCAATCCGGCATAATGCCACTTAACTGCTAAATATTAAGATTTATGACTATGTGATGTTTATTTCTAAATCATTATTATCAGGCTCCAAGAACATGGATTCATCTCTCCCTGCCCCCAGTCTAAAATAAAAAAGCAAGTCAGTTCTTCCTTGGAAGAGAAAGAAACTAGCTGTTTCATAAGATTGTAGTCTAAAGGGGGGGGGTTAAAATGAAGAGCACTTCCAATAGAACTGTCATTTTTCAATTGAAAATTGTTTGCTTCTTTAACCACATTTTCTCATCACTGGCAGTTCTAACATATCTTCTCCCTCCCAAGAACTGACTGGCAGTGTTTAAAGGGCAGTGACCCTGGATTGCTCTTGCTCACAATAGGCATTCAGAGAGACACAGATATGACCAAGGACTTTTTTGTGCACCAGGCTGGCCAATCAAAATGCAGTAAAGAACAATAGTAACATTAAAATTAAATGGATGCTATCTCTTCTTGCCAGATATCTTTAATAGCAGGATTGCTTTAAGAAGAGAACATCTCATACAATAAAAAGAGTCATGGAAATACTATACTACCCTGAGTCACCAAGAATATTTGGGGGAAGGTAGAATCTAATGACATGAATACTGTGATGATACAGTAAATAAAAGTGGTTTAAAAAATCACTCTAGTAACATTAATGGTCGAATACCTGGATACAGAATTATTAACTGAGCCCAATTATACTTCCACCAAACATACAAAACATAAATCTGTATCAGACAATTAACAGAATCAATTAATAATAAGCAGAACTCTGAAGAACAGCAAAATAACAAGACATGTCCCATTTAGACGTTTGCTGAATTGCAATTTAAATGCTATGAGAGATCCAGTTAGTTGTTGCTAGTGTGTGGCAGGGAAAATTTTTGTTTCAAGTAGTATGAAGTGTCCCAAGTTCTAGTCTGTGGGTTGTATCCAACTAAATTATACTCACGAGTAGACCCACTGAAATTAGCAGACCTACATTAGTCATGTCCGTTAGTTTTATTGGGTCTGCTCTTCCTAGGATTAACATTTGATACAATACTGGAGCTGGAAGCCCTCTAGAACCAATGGACAAGAAGGGTGGGTCCACAGGAAAGAAGCTGCCTGTTATGGATGGGGCAAAGAGGAGAGAGGAATCATCATCCTGTAGTAGACTATGTGCTCTGCATGCAGAAGGTCCAAGGCTCAAACACTGGCATTGGCAATTAAAAGGATCAGGTAGCACATGATGTGAAAGACCTCTGCAGTTCTAGATTAGGCAGATACGTAGCCCAACCTGGTATGAGGCAGCTTCATAGGAGTTATGGACAACACCCTACTTCTTCTCATAACTGACAGTCCAAGATATAACCTGGAGGTATATGAGGCTCAAGGTATGATCTGCTGCCATGTGAGGCCAACACCTTACTGAAGGTCTGGGTTGGGTCACTGCATAGATGGGAACCATGTCTATGATGCTTTGGGTTCCATGATGAATGGAAGTGTAGTATAGTGTAATAAAATAAAATAAAACCCATCCACATACCCCACCTTGAAGAAGCCCACAAGCTACTGTAAGGAGCAAATGTTTGTTTGGGAAACATTGTTTTTTGAAGGTTACAATTTTTAAAAGGCAAAACCACCGCCTTTAACAAGGACTGGTGAACACCGAGATGAAAGCTTCACTTTAACTTTGTACTCATTCCAATAAATAATAAAGAAAAACTAGCTGTTCCCTGGTTCAGTACATTCAACAGCCTGTAATCAGTTTTGAAGCTAGAACCTAACCTGACCTCATCCTCTAATCAGCTTCTTAAAACACCACCTCGTCTCCCCAGCCCAACGAAGAGTCTCCTCCTCCTCAGAACTGTATTGAAAACCTTTGTGGGCCCTCAGAATGGACACAAGAGTACTTCAACCTCATAATAATGTTGAGCCATGAAGAATACAATGCCCTTTTTAAAAAAAAATTAAGGCCACTCAGATTAAAACATCAATGCACTTGGATGCAAGCAACATTATTTTTTAGTGCAGCTACTCATTTAAACCTGCCAAGGTCGCCAAGGCAACCAGATTGCAGTCTCTCTTCCAGGGGAGAAAGAAGGTGCAGAGAGCACTGACTTGTAAGAAGAGTGCGCAAGCGTGTTCCATCATGCACCAGCAATATTCAGCAAAGTTGAAGAGTTACTGTGCAATCTGCGTGAGAAGAAAACCCATACCTAGTTAAATACAAAGATGAGGGAAGCCTATTTTGCTTGTTTAAAATGCACCTGGGGGATGAAAGTCAGAGGACTGGTTGGCTTGCAAACTGGACTCACCTGGAGCAGTTGGTTCTGTGGCCATTTTTGTATGTGCCTGTTCTCTGCATATGCACAATGGCCTAGACTGCACAGCACAGCATGTGAAGCTGCCTTATACAGCACTAGATCATTGGTCCATATTGCCCAGCATTGTCTACTGACTGTAGGTCACCAAGGCTTCAGGCAGCCCTATTCCTAAGATCTTTTATCTCAAGGAGGGGGAACCCTGTTCAGCCAAGGGCCACATTCCTTTCTGGGCAATTGTCTGAGGGCCACATGCTGCTGGTGGGTGGGCCCAGAGGTAAAAGTCGGTGGAGCCTGCAGTTTTAATTTTATCTTTACAGTACGCTAGTTTCCGCACACATTCTTTATCCAAGTGAACAAAAAGCAGTAGCCAAGTCCAGCCACTCAAAAAAACTCGAGGGTGTGAAATAGGCAGTGCTATTTTTCTAGAAAAAGAGGTGCCAGAGCTCACCATGAACTCCTCCCTTGTTCTCTCAGAATGGCAATGGTGCCCACCTGAGAGGTGTCGGAGCTGAGTTCTTGTGAGCTCTAGATGGAAAAAAAGCATGGACAGGGAGGCATGAAGTCCACTTTTGGCCCCTAGAGCTGACGGTCCTCCTCATTTTATTTGGACATGGCACAGATTCACTGAAGCTAGGACCTTGGGCATGCACAGGCTGTGCCACTGAACTCTGTGTGGCTCCCTAAACCAACGTGTGGGGAATTGCTGAATGGGTGGTTCTATCATGTGACAAGAGGAAGCAATGCCCAACCCCATGATTCTATTATAAGCAAATCAGTTCCAAGAATACCTCGGCAAAAATAAACAAGGAAGTCTCTAAAGATACACAGGCCAACAACTTGGTTCATTTCTTCATCTGAAAGGATGCCTTTCTACTTGATATATACCACTATCTCCTTTAGCAATCCAAGCTAACTTTCACATAGCCAACATATTATTGGTCACACACACACACACACACACACACACCTCTAAGGCTGATAGATCAGCCAATTATCTGCTTCCCAGAATTTTATTTGTCTTCTGTTTTTTATCTGTACATTATCAATACCTATTACAAGAAGATATCGTTTTAAATTATCAAGACAGTCTTAAATTACCAGGACAGGCTCAATGCAATTACAATTGGCTTATTAGGAAAAGCATTATAAAAATAAATCTGTACCTTTATATTAGAACGCTTACTCATAAGAAATTTATTTTCCATTACCAGAAGAATGCTGTTGTTTTGTAGGGAGTCTGTAAGTAGTTGATATTATTCTATAGTCCTGGTACACCAGGTTGCCATTGCCAATGTAATCATAAGAACTGCAGTTGCAGAAACTGTAGTTGCAGAAACTAAAACTAACACTCGTTACACTTTGGCCGTGTCCTTGGACAATGCACTGCCATCCACCCATCACATCGCTGTGCACCTATACTATGCTCCCTTTCTACACAGTGAATACTTTCCTGACTTTCCCTCAATGGGGAATACTTCTACAACCTTTGAGTGTGGGCACCTGCATGTCTAATTTTTTGACAATGTGCATCGCCAAAGAAGAGGGCAAAAAAAGGTGCAGCAGATGTGCATAAAATTTGCAGCTGCCGATTAATATGCAGAAATTCACATTTAAAAGGACTATGCTCTAAATAGAAATAACAGTACATTTCACCATAGCAGGGAAGAATGTGTGGCAAAGTGCTGCCAACTGTTGATGAGCAATTTCAGGGTTCCTGATCTCCCTTTTTCTGTTTCATTATCTTTA